TATATATATATATATATATATATCAACAGCAGCAAGTTAAGTGCAAATCATTTGTTACTGTGCAAGTAGCTAAGTATCAAATGTCACTTACTACTTTCAACCAAATAACGATGATAGTTGTTTACTCAGAAACATGACACTTTAAGTAACTGTACAATCATGATATTTACATATTTAGCATTTCAAAATGTGAAACAATGAAAATAGAAAAAAACAAAATATATTAAAATTATCAATATATAAAAGCTATTGAACCTTTAAGAAAAATTCCTGTATGAATGGTCTAAAAAGACATCAGACTGGTAATAAAAAAGTAAGCCCAGCATAACATATGGACAGCAAGGGAACTTTTGCCATTTGGTCCTTCACACCCACCTGCTGAAAAAAGGGGAGGTAAAGATTTAAACCAACCCTTCATTTTTCAGGAATTCTTGTAAAATACTGGCCTCCACTACTGCTGACAGCAACTAACTCCATAAATTAATCACCATGTTAGAAGGATAAAACTGTCTTAACTGGAGTCTAGTTTGTCTTTTCTAAATCTATTGTCTATAAAATATAGCACATAGAAATCAGAGCCTTTATCCTATCAATGATCAGATAATCTTGTAAGATTCAATAACATCACTTTTTATCCTTCTCATCTCAAGAGAAAATAAGTTCAGAGATAAGAAGACCCTTCCACTCCTGGAATCATCATATCACTTTCCTCTGAACCCATTTCAATAAGTCAATGTCCTTTTTCAGATAAGGAGGTCAGAACTGTACACAACATTCCAAGTGAGATCTAACTAGTGATTTGTATTGAGACATTTCTGTCTTTTGGCTTGTTATCAATACACCTATATATACATCTTAAAATTCCATGACTTTACTACTAGTAACAATACACTGGCTTGATGGCTAAGTAATTATCTTGCACCATGCCAAGATTCTTTTTTTTTTCAGTCATATTACCGAGTACATTCCCATCTACATTAAATGTGTGAAACAAAATAAAAACTATGTCTTTGTCATTGCTATTGTATTTTGATGTTTTTATATTTCTTTTATACAACATGGAACAACATGGACTCTTTTTGTCATGCTCCTTTTAAGAAAAGAATAAAAACTCACGGATACAAAATAATTCCTGCCATAAACTGTTACTAAATGTTGAACAGCAACTGGCTTCTTACTTCTCACTACTCTATTTAACTTCCAGATTTAATTTCTTTCAATTCTCAACAGTCACAGATTATCTTCTTGAAAAACTGATAGATTTTACCACTGCACCACCTAGCAATTGCTAAAAAGTAAGATACAAGTGAAACTGAAATAACGATATTCGACACTACACATAATCTAGAAGGATACTTGATGCTTTTGTTTACAAGCAAACCTAAATAAGCATTAAAATAACTTATTGAGAAAAACAAAATTGAATTTCAACATAAACAAGAAAACCTGACTTTCAATAAAACTGAAATAACGATATTTAACACTAAACGTAATCTAGAAGGATACTTGATGCTTTTGTTTACAAGTAAACCTAAATAAGCATTAAAATAACTTATTGAGGTTTCAAATTTAAGCACAAAGCTACACAATGGCTGTCTGTGCTCTGCCTACCACGGGTATCGAAACCCGGTTTCTAGCATTGTAAGTCCGCAGACATACCGCTGTGCCACTGGGGGGCAACTTATTGAGAAAAACAAAATTGAATTTCAACATAAACAAGAAAACCTGACTCTTTCAATAAAATTCAAACATACATCTATAAAACTATAGTATGATACATAGTGCATTTTATAAACATACTTCAAACAGAAATCAATTCACTGTAATAATTTTAATCTAAATACATTTCCTAATGATTTAAAATCTCAAAGTAACAAAGTTTAATTACATTTTGAAATCCAGTATTACCTTTATTTTGTGGAGGTATACCTTATCATCCTCAGCATATTCATTCTGAAGACATGATAAATCACAAAGAGGTCCAATCAGAGGGACCACATCTGCAATCTGAGTAAACATACTTGTAAGTTAGTCTAATACTTTGTAAAATGTACAAAAGCTATACAGAAATGTTTGATATAAAAATTAATATCAACCTTGAATCACAGCAAACTATCTACTTAGATCAAAACTAAAAATTAACATATTAAATTCCCTAGAACCATCCTGAACTTAGCCACAGAAATATTCTGAATAAAAGGTAAATATCAGTCATTATTAACTTCTTTTAATTTAAAAAACATCTTAACCAAAATATTTTCCTAACAATAAAATTTGTATTACTACCAACAAAATGCAATACTTTTCATATCAGTAAATATGCAGTGCTTAAAATAAATTTAAGTATTTACAACTTATAAAAGGAAAAGTTCATACAACAACTCTTTTGAATTAAAAAGTACATGTATGTTACTTCTAGCATTTTTATTATTGCAGTACAGTTTGGCACTTCACTGTTACCAGATAATGATAAAAAAATGTACTGAGAAACATGATTACATATTTTCAACATACTAATTTCATCAGATTTTTGTTTATTAATATTATTATGATAGCTTACCTCTCTTTCAATTTCTTTTTCTTGTGCAAGAATAGCTTCATCTTGGTTATCATCTGAGCCTACAAATTACAAGTGATCCAAAAAAATCAAAATTTCTCATACATGTAACTTTAATTTTGTTTAAAGCAGCATTATCTGGTGAAGATTCTTTAATAGTCAGAGACCCAAACAACCTATACAGGGTTGGAGCTGACACTCTTTGCTACAACTTGTAGGCCACTGTTCTATTAAAGTTTAGACCCTCACAGGTTATAATCAAGCAGTCTGCTCATCTCGTACTATATAAGAAATGGGGTCATTTTGATGATATTGTTATAATGTGTACTATCATTGGGCAGGTTTTCTTAATCATTTGTGAAAATAATACAAGATCCAGTACATATTAATTTATTTCTTATTTTTCTATGATGTTTCTAGAGTCATGTTCACTTGTAAGTTGTAGGCCTAACTTCAAATGTTTTAATATACACTGCAAGATGTATGCCTAACTTAACTTAATAACTAGTTTTGTTAGATAATATATAATTCATCAACTAATTGAATAATAGAATAAACACAATGGTTCTCACTGAATACTCATTCACTGTTTACTATCTGAACTGTTTACTCATATTTATATCTGTATCCTAGTTTCTAGACATTGTTTCTCTCGATCATTACATCATCATTACAAACAGCACTTCCCTCTAACAAATAAATTACAACACTGAAATAACAGCTTACAGCAATATTATCCTGAAAAAATACCGTGAAAATTCCATAAATATCAGAGAAAAGTTGTTTTAGCCAATTAATTTTTCTACTATTTCAACTTTGTTTTATGAAAGAGGTGCACTTGACTTATAAGATATTTTTCAATAAAAGTTTGAAATTACATAGACTGCCATAATAAACACTTATTTTTACATTATCTCCTGTAATTATTTTCTTCTGAAATTTTAAATTTGGGTGTTTAATGTTTAATAAATTAATTTTTAACTACTATGATAGTAAAATGCCTTTGAAATAACATACTTAATGAAATAAACTCGTATAAAAGTTTCCAAAATTGTATAAGAATGGTTTTATAATGACACTGAAAATCACCACATAATATTAAGTTATTTCAAAATGCACATAAAAAATCATTCATTTTTAAATTAACTTTATCTTATAATACAGATCCACTTTATTTTGTTATAATTGGATAATAAAACTGATCATTACTGTTGCAAAACACTTGGATTGCACCCATTTTCTTAAACAGAAGAATGAAATTTTAAACCTGCGCAAGAATAATATAAGTATCTATAATAAACTAAGAAGGCTTTTACAAAACCAATTTTAAACTAAACTATATATATAAAATAAATAAAATGTATTAGTCATACAAACATGATAGTGGAAGACAGGTGTTACGGGTGACTTATCTAACCTGTTTTATCATTAACAGAGGTTCCAACTTATTGTCAAGCCTCTGATTTATCATACTACACTTTTTCTAAGTTAACTATTTCATCCAAGTAGACCTAAATTAAAGTGGTTAACCTATAGAAATACACTATAATAGGACCTCTTTACTTTCTCTCGCCCCACTCATATAAAAACAAACAAGACAGTCTGCAAAACATGTAATATAAACAAATTCATAAATGAAAAAAAATATTAACATTTTCTGACATGCATCTTGATTTTTATAAGAATCATAATCGCTAGTGTCAATACTGTGAAATGTGAATGAAAAACTGTACTGTCATGATTCACAAAAGAATACATCCATATATTCTTCAATTTTAATCAATTACTTGTAAATAGAAAATATTTTGAACTACATTATATGTTTAGTATATTTTTGTTTCAATAAATGACTATCAATATGTATTTTGTTTGTGGAAGTTTTTAACACTTCCAAAGTTTACCAAGTAGCTATTTGTGTTTGACTATATTGAATTAAATAACCAATAAAAGATTAACAATTATTAAAAACACATAAGAAAATCACTGATATAGTGCCCTTCTTTCCAGAAATGGAACTCAGGTGATGGAAGCTGCATGACTCAGGCAGCCTGAGAAAATGAGTGCAGAGCAAACTTTGAATCCTACTAATGCTGGAATTTCTATGTTACAGAAAACAGAATGTGAGGATACATGTACATTAATGTTTATTTCATATATGTGTTTGACTTTCACACAAAGCAACTCGAAGGCTATCTGTGCTAGTCATCCCCAATTGTTAAGTGATAGCTAATCAATATCACTCTTCTCCAACTCAAAGAAAACTCTAACAAAATACTGAGATTTGACTGCCATTCTTATAACACACCATTACCCTAAAGTATGGATCACAACGTTTGTCAAGAGTCACAAGATGTGAACCATGGAACCACAGATTCCCAGTTTAGAACTCTACCCACTGGGCCATGTTCTGTTCTATTATGTTTATATATATATGGCAAGATTTCCAGCAAGCAGGCCTATTGATTCTAATATAACAGGCTTTCACCTTTCAAAAATAAGTGTCTAGAAAATTGAAGGTGGTGGTGTCATGTTAAATAATTTTAAGAGCTTTTCTTGACCTTGGATCCCTGGCTATACAGTACAAGTTAAATTTAGGAAAACAAATGTTTGAACACACTCGAAAGCAGAATACATTAAAATACAAACACAACTATTTTTTCAGTTTCTGTTGTATTTCTACTATGAAAATTACATTAAATAAGATGTTCAAATTCAGGCATATAAATAATTTCCAGTACAATGAAATGAAACTACCTGTCATTAATTGTCCCTAAAAGTAAAAATTAAATATATTAGCTTAATTTAAACAAAGGTCTGTGATATAAGCTATGTATAAGTTATAACATCAATACGACAATAGGCCTATAGTATATGGTTCTAAATCCTATCTATTCTTCCAACTTTAGTTCTATAAATATTATAAAATTCATAGGATTCGTGCTCCAGAAGTTAAATACTCAAATAGGGAGTTATAAGAATACCACTCATATGCTTTTTATTTTTAATCGCTGTACAGGAATATTCACATAACTCATTAACTGTTTATGTAGACATTCACTCATGATTCAGTATCAGTATCATGAACCAGTTTGTTTTTTTAACTCGTGTACATGGTAACACTGTAAATGTAATGTTGTCTTAGTTTACTAAGGGTAATATCATTTATTTTGAAATTGACATTTTAAATAATCTTTTCCTGAAAATGAAGTTCTGTTTTTCAGTCTTATAAAATTAAAAATAAATATTTGACTTCGTTTGGGTTTGAAATTTTTTTCGTGACAACTTGACTCAGGTAATACACCAAATCGTAAGCCATGCTATTAATGTTACAGTTTTGCAGGTTAATTTTAATGTTTACAGTTAAATACTTACATTTTTCATTCCAAGATCTTTTCTCATTTATTCTATTTTTCATTGCATTCTGTTCATCACTACTCTTAACACTATCGTCTGCCATTTTCAATATCAAAAAGAACGCCCTCTGACAACAAGATAAAAATATAGCTTATATTTTTCTTACTTCTAATACTTTTGTGATGCATTCTGTGATTCTGAGCTTTAATTGATTATTAGAACTATAGTAGTATAATTATTATAGATCTAATAAACAATTAAAGCTAAGAACCACAGAATGTATCACAAAAGTATAATTAGATATAAGTTTTGAATATTTGATATGTTTTAGTATTAGTAAGATAATTTATGAACGTTTATCTAAAATCAAGAGTGGGCATTTTCCAATTTATATTGATGTAGAGTTACCCATCTGTTTCTTTTATGTATGTATATTAACTATGTTTTTCAATATATACACCTCCCAGTGAATCAATACGCTGTCCAACAAAATGATGAAACACAATTAATCTTGTGGTACTTCAGGACTGGGAATATAACGCACAGAGGTATCTAATCTCCACAATAATGAGAGATTAGATTACTTAATTTACAGAAGGAAAAGTGTTATGATTCGCTGCAGATTTAAATTAACAGAGTATATCCGGGAATGTAAAGCACACACAAAAATTCACTTATTCGGGATATGGTATTTAAGTATACTGATGTCCAATAGAAAAGTATCAAGTACCTATGATAATCAGGTTCTAAAAATAGTATGCAAAGAGTAAAATTAACACGGATAGCAAAGGAAAACAAGTTGACACAAAAGTGCAAATAAAGAAAATATTTATACATGCAACAAAAATAGTATTTCTGGGGTCTTACTTATACCGGCTGGTTTCGATGTTCTTTGTATGACTTCGTAGTTACTGGAGCATGAGGAAGCAAGTCTGCGTGATACGACAGGAATAAAAGTGATGATCATACAGCACTGTTAGTGTTAAATCAGATCAAAAGTCCTAGTTTGATATCCCACAATCTTCGATTATCTACTTCACCAATCATTCCATTTCTACTATTATACTGGTTTCTATTGTTGGGCTGGTTCTTTTGGATTGCCCCCAGTGGCACAGCTGTATGTCTGTGAACTTACAACTCTAGAACCCAGGTTTCGATACCCGTGGGCAGAGCACAGATAACCCATTGTGTAGCTTTGTGCTTAATTACAAACAAATATTTTGGATTATTCGATTTAAAAACTAATAGTGATTCAAAATCAAGTTCAACTAAAGATAATAAAAATGGTTTACTCT